TCTCCACCACTAAATACAACATTAAAAGGTGATTAGGGAGTCTGTTGATGAAACACAAATGTATGTTTTATTGATTTAATTTAGAACACTACAGAGTTCATGGACTGCGTGATGGCATTAGATTTATGCTGGATTTTGGTATAAATCACTACCATTGAAATGATTTGGTGTCTGCTTGCAGAATGTTTTCTCAACAGTTCAATCCGTACTGTTCCTACTGAGTACTGCTGCTCGAAGGGTGTCTGCAGCTCTGTATTGTTACTGTGCCATGTTGCATTATAACCACACCGTAATTCTATTTAAGCAAACTCAACTCATGGTAACTTCGAAGGCCTTTAGAAATGAGTACTATGGTTCTCAAGCAATAAAACTGATCATGGTGAACGTTCATGTGTCTCTCCCTTCAATGCAGGCATCGCAGATTGCTGGGAAATGATTGAATTGTTAGATTCCATACTAATGAGTTACCTTTTAATCTCCTGCCAATTAACAGGGTCATTTTTTGAGTGAAAACCCATATAAGAGAACATACTTGTGGTGTTAATCAAAACATAATGCAAACTGAGAAAAAGGCGTTGAGTGCTCTGTATTGGAGTGTTCACATACGGAAACGTACAGCTTTATGAGCTATTGATGAGATGCCAGTCTCCGTAGCTCAATAAATATGCCACCGTAAAGTGCTTCGTGATTATCTCTGTGTTTGGGGGGGGGAAGAAAAAAAAAAAGAAGACTGCCTTCGAACTCAGACTGAAGCCTCATTGATGGATAAATTCAGCAGAGCTATAAACTGCGAGGCCGTAAATAGTCCCAACCCATCTGCAGCAGTCAGTAACATGGTGACCCGGCACGGTAACCTGTGGAGTTGAAGGAGTCTCAAATTTAACGCGTAGAAATTCATAAAATGCAAATTTAACATTAAAAGCAAACAAAAAATAATAATTAAAAAAAAGACGCAGTCTGCGGGGCCGTCGGGACTCCGTCCCACACCGAGCGGAGCTCCTCCGCTGAGCAACGCTCGAACCGCTCCGCTGCCGCTCCCCGCGCAGAGCCCCGACCGACCCCGGCGCGGAGCAGCGGCCCGCTCCCATCGCAGCCGCCGGGGCGGCCCGGGACGGAGCGCTGCGGTTCCGCGTTCTTCGTCCTGTGAAAGGCGCGCACAGCCGGTACATATCGTCGCGTTCCGCGAGGCGCGTTTCGTTTTAAGGAATAAGGAGCGGTAACGGGTGTAACTGTTCCCCGCTTTCGGGGTGGATGTTTTTGATCGTGCCGTTCTCCACCGAGAGTCGGGCAGCCGCGGCGCCGACGCCGTGTCTCGGTGACCAAAACAGAAGCGGAGATTAATTTCTAAATCTGATCGACTCCGTCCGTAGGGCGGCACGGCGGGGTCCCGCAGATGCCGGCGGCAGTGAGGGGGAACGCGGACCCCGCTGCCCTGCGCTGCGGCAGCCGGGCGGGAGACGCTTTTCCCGTCCCTGAGAGAAGCGCTGCGCAGCGGACAGCGCGGGGCGGCTCCGCGGGGCTGCTGCTTCTCCGCATCTCGGGAGCGCCGCGCAGCTCTGCGGGAGGCGGCCCGCAGCTCGGGCACCGCCTCGGGCTGCCGCGCAGCAGCTCAGAGGCAGAAATCGCGTCTCGTTCGTTTAAAAAAGTAGTCGAACTGAAGCAGAACGACCGTGAAGCTGCCTTGCACCCGCCCGGCCTCGAATACGCTCGAGGACAGCAAAGCGCCGGGCGGCTGCGAGGCCTCCGAATGACGTCGGGCTGACGGCGCGGCGGTCCCGAGCCTAGGATGCGGGCGCTGCGGACCGAGGCTCGCGGTGGAGGAGATGGCGCTGGCGACGGTCTCCGCCGCGCTCGAGGCGGTTTTGCCCTCGGTGGCCGCACTGCGGCCGCCGTCCGGGCTTCGCCTTCCGCTCCCCGTGGCAAACGCCGCAGCTGCCGCAGCTGTCTGGCCGCTTTTCCGTACCGGTGCAGTTTGACCCTCGACCCCGAGTGTCACGGTGCACTCTTAGACCCATGCACCACCCGTATGTTCCCGCTGCGGGCAGCCACTGTACGCGAGAATGGCACGCTGTACCGAACGCCGCTCCCGACGCCGCTGTCGGACTCGACCTTCCCGGCTCAGCCCCGGCCCCGCCGTGCCAAACCCGTCCTGCGGAGCGCTGCTGCCCGATCCCCACCCGTGGACTGCCACGGGATCGGAGCGGATAGATTCTCCCCGACGGCGGTCCTTCGGCACTACGGCCCCGGAGCGTTGCGGCAGCCCGGCCCCGAGCTCCCCCGCCCCGCGTCCAGCTGCGATTCCCGCAGCACGGAGGTGCGGCCCCTCTTGCCCGGTTTGAGCAAAAAGCGGCACCACCGTGGAAAGCGCGCTGAAGGCAAAGAGTGTTAAATAATTTATTGATTTATACGAAGTCTTTCCAACCCGTGTGGAGACGACAGCATTAATCCAATTTAAAATCAGGTGTCCTTTTTTTTTCTCTCGCTTTTTTTTCCCCCTCTTTTGATATTATTAAGCATAAAATCCGGAGGCAGAAGAAATCAAACCGCCAAACCCCTGAGCAGAGGGAGGGAGTGAAAGAAAACGCCGTTTTTACACTAGAAATATACATCACAAAATCTGAAGTTCACTATGTACAAAGTGGCCACGCTGGGGTTTTGAGCTCCTTACAAAACGTTGACAAACGCTGATTGTTAGGAGCAGGAATTAGCTGAAAGAGAGAGGAGCGAACCTGAAAGGGACATAAAAGGAAAACCAAGAAGTCGTAAAGATTCCTCTGAAATTTACATCGATGAGAAAGAAAATAATTTCATAACTTATTCTGTAAAAAATATATACATTTCACATACATCTCGGGCTGTACAATACACCACTTCAACATCCAGCCGCACCACTCACAACGTGTCCGAGCTGGTGCTGCAGGGGCTGACGAGGGCGAGGTTCGTGGATTTGTGCTTTTTCAATAGCCTGGTAATTTTCTCATCATCTGAGTTGGGGTCCAGTGGTTTGTTGTATTCGTCATCGTCCTCATTGTCCGAGCTCTCCTTCAGCTTCTCCGTCTCCGAGTCGTGCTTCTTCTTCGCCGAGGCCATCTCTGCCGCGTGCCGCTTCCGCCACTTGGTCCGTCTGTTCTGGAACCACACCTGGCCCCGAGAGGAGCGCTCAGCTCGGCCGGCCCCGCGCCTCTCCCGCCCCATCCCGGCCCCGCGGGGGATGGCGGCCACACGCGGGGGTCACTCGTCTTGGCCCCGCGAACGAAGCAGCGCGGCGCCGACAGCGGCACGGCTACGGGCAGAGCTCGTCCGCGCCTCAGGGCTCCTAACACCGCTGCCAAAACACCGCGCGGCTCCGCACTGAGCAGTGCCGAGCAGCGGCCGCCGGAGCAGCCCACTGCGAGCAGCGCCTACGGGCTACGTTGAGCGATGAATTCATATAGGGAAATTTTTTAATGGGTTGCAGCATAATGAGCGTTAAGCACTAAGTAAGTTACGTAGAAAATAAACTAAAAAAAATCTGTTCAGTATCCAAATGGTGTAATTTAAATTATCATCGACTTAAGAAAAAAAAAAAAAAAATGCCCCGCGTGGCAGCGGCACGGTTCTGAGTGCAAAAGAGAGCGGACGGCGGGACCTACCTTCACCTGGCTCTCTGTCATCCCCAGTGAATAAGCGAGCCGCGCTCGCTCGGGCCCCGCCAGGTACTTCGTCTGCTCGAAGGTTTTCTCCAGAGCAAAAATCTGCTGCCCCGAGAAAGTCGGCCGCGAGTGCTTCTTCTTCCCATCTTTGTCCAAAACCATTCCCGTCTGAGCTGGAAACGGAGAAAAAACAGCTCCGTTAGGAGCGGTTCGCGCTCGCCGCGAGTCGCGCCCGACTCGGGATGGGGGGACTGAGGAGGGGGAATGGGTCTGCCCCGAGGCTCCGCCGCTCCGGAGAGGGGCACGGTGCGGAGCCACCTCTGCGTTCCGCGGGTTCCAGCTGTCCGCGCCGCCCTCCGCTCGCCCTCCGCGGCTCGGGGCGGGGGGAAGAAGGGGGTACTGCCAGGCGCGCCCCGCAGCGTCGCACTTACCGGGACAGGTGAGGCGCGGGTCCCGCCACGGAGAGCCCTGTACCACTCCCGGCCAGAAGATAGGCGGCCGCCCCGGCAGCTCCGCCAGCGGCTTCGGATACCGGGAGACGGCGGCGGGCCCGAAGTACACCCCGGCCGAGGCTGCCAGGCCGTTGATGCGGGGCAGCCCACCCAGCAGGTTGCCGGCGGCGCCCACGGGCCGCCCCAGGATGTCGCTGATGCCGTGCGGCGTCCCCAGGGGCAGCTGCGTGTTGAGGCCGCCCAGGGCCGGCGCCTTGAAGCCGGAGGGGTTCTGCAGGGCGTAGGGGAATAGAGAGCTCTTCATCTCGGCCATGTTGTGCAGCGCGGCCAGCGGCGTGCTGCCCAGCACGAACGCGCTTTGCCGGTTAGCATCCATCTGCCCCACCGCTAACATTGGCGGTCATCCACGGACGCCGGTCCTGCTCCGAGCGGGGCGAAGCTCGCGGTACGGCCCCGCGCGAGGAGCGCCGGCACGGTCCTCTCTCCGCTCGTGGGTCGCGGGTAGCGGCCGCCGGTAAAGTTTGGTCGGAGCGAAACAACCTCGACACCGAGCTCCGACGGCACAGTGGGAGTAGAGAAGCGTCGCTACCGGAGCGGTGCGCGGAGCGCGCCACGTCCCGGCTGCCTGCGGCCCTACGCGGCGCGGGTCTCCAGTAGGCGCCGCACGATCGGCTCCGCGCCTTCGCCCGCGCGTCCGAGGCCGCGCCGCGCCGCGCCCGGGGCGCAGATAACCGCGCGGGCACCTGCGAGCCGCGCGTCTATTGGGTGGCCGCCACCCCGCGCTGCCGCCGCGGCCCAATCGGAGGGCGGAGAGCTCTTCCACCGCGACACGTCACGGCGCGCCGGACGGGCGGGCCCCGGAGCCGAGGGAGCGCGCGGGGGGCGTCCACTGTCCGCTCCGCTCCGCCCCGCCGCCCCGTGCCGTCCGCGGGGATCCGCCTCGGCGCGGAGCGGCCGGGCCTCGGGGGCTGCTGCCCCTCGACCAGCGCGGGGCCGCGGAACGGAGTGGGGCCATCGTACGGCGCCTATCTCCGGCTGATACTCGGCTCTGTCTTCGCCGCTGTGGTACTCGTCGGGACCCTCGCTGGACCGTATGTGGTGACAGCGGCGGCTCTGCTCGCGCCCGGCACCGCTGCGGGAATGGCGGCACCTCCTGAACGCCGGAGCCGTTCCGGACCGAACTGCGCGCACCGTCCGGGAAGGAAGGTATCGGACCGAAAATAATTCTGGAAGCAGGTTCGTAACGCGTTCTTTGCCTTACGAGTGCCTTCTGACGTGTTTTGATTCATCGCCAATATAGGATAATCGCTAACTGATGAACGAGTGGGGAATTAATATTTGTCAAAGTGTTCGTAGTGACTGAGAGCGGAATGGTTTCGATGGGCACGGCGCTCGGATGTGGCCGTGTCCGTTCTCGGACCTCCTTCGGCTGTTCAGCCCGATGCCGCCACATTCGTGCCGCCGAAGCGCATTCGGGACGGAACCGTCCCAGCTCGAGCCGCGCTCTGTTTTCGGGCGCTCAGGTGAGAAACGACACAGCAGAGCAGCTCGTTGTGTGTCCTCGTTGAGGCGTAACGAGGGTTAACAACGGCACTGCTCCAAAGGACGTTCAATAAACCACTTCGTTGCTGCGTTACGTTTTCTGTTGTAAACACCAATAGAGAGAGCAGCGAGGGCTACGCCGGGTTCTCACCCCAGCGTTACGGGCGCGATGGCCGGTGCGGTTGTCCCGGCGGGCGCGGGGCTGTGGGAGGTGGCACCGCGCGTCTTCTCTCTCCCGCCAGCCGGCCCTGTCGGTGTCGTCCCCCGCCGGGACTCACTTTCTTTGCACGGACCGAAGGCCGAGGTAGGAGAGCGACAGCCGCCAGCCCTCGCTGTGCGGAGGTGCAGAGGCCCCGATAGGGCGGTGCGCTGCCGGGCGGGATGGGACGAGACGGGATTCTTTCCCAGCCGGCCCGCCGCTGTCCCGGAGGTTGCCCGTGTCCACTCCCCAAATCCCCGACCTCCCCGCCAAACTCTGGACGTTTTCTCGCGGGTCGCACCGCGCAGGCACTGCGTGCACCCAGTGTCTCGTGGGCAGTCTCGAGGCTCTCCTCTCGCTCTCGGCCTCTGGGTCACGTAATCTCTCCAGCATTCAGCCCCTCGTACTCGCCATAAAACTGCGCGGTGGGGTGGGCCAGCAGATCATGCCACCGACGGCAGTTGTTACAAATTAACTGTGCTTATGTTCCTGTTCCGTGACTTCCCTGCAATCTAAGACACCGTTTTTTTTCCACATGTGGAAGTACGTGCGGTTGTCCCCGCAGAACTCCCGAACTCGTTCACTGCCTTTCATTATGGCCTTCCGAGGAGGCGGGGCGCAGAAGGAGCCACCCAGTGACCTCCGTGGGACTATAAGTGGCACCTCCGGCCCCCCTCCCCGGCACCAGCCGCGGCCCCGGCCGCTTCTCTACGCCCCGGGGCTGCGCAATGCGCCGGTCCCGGGCGCTCCGTGCGTTTCCGGCAGAACCTCGCGTGCTGCCGGGGCCTCCCGCTGTTGGCGGCATCGCCGCTCTGATGGCTTTGCCAGAGGAGTTTTGAGGTGGGAACCAAGCGGTCTGAGACGTTTCTAATAAGACATAAATTCAGTGCTGGTAAGGTCCCGAGCTGGGTTAACGTGAGAACGCTGGCGCTCCGACGCATTGGTGTGCGCGTTAACGCGTGGCCGCTCCCCGGAGGCCGTCACGCGTGGGCCCGGCAGCGCCGGCCGGGGGGCTCAGCCGCTCCTCGTCCCGCGCCCCACGGCGCGTGCTGGCGGCGCCCCCTGGCGGCTCTCGGTCGAGTCGTGGCTCCTCTTGGGGTGGGAGCGGCGGCAGCTGTCGGGGTCACGGGGTGCCGGGCTCGGCGCTGAGGCTCCACGTGTTCCCCCGGAGCGGCCCCGCGGCACAGCATGGCGGCGGGACGCGGGGGCACCGTTCAGACATTGATGTCCTCTTACTGGGCTCTTCTTGATAATGAAGTCAGTGCCTTGTGTGGATGTAGTTCCGTGCTGGAGTTGTGAGTACCCTTTTTACAGCTGGACACGCAGGAAAACTGAGGTTGGTAACATTAAGCTTGTCTGAGACTTAGACATCTCTGTGTGTTCAGAATGGAATATTATCAAATGCACCACAGCACAGATACCTTAAGACAAGCTCTGATGAACCCTTCTGTGCTTCCATTTGCCGTGCATAAATGGCAGTACTTTTTCTTGTAGATTTTGTGCAGCTGAAAAGGTGTGAGAGTACTGCTATGAACAGAATAACCTGTGTTTTACATTCATTGGGTGCAAATGCTTGTTCTCTCTCTTGCTTTGTACACTCTATAACAAGTCTGCGGTGCATGGAACCATTCCCTACTCTGCTAGTTATCCCAAAGTGCAAATGTGAATCTCCACATCCAAACAGTGATCAGGGAAGGGTGAACTGAGGGCAGCACTCCACGCAGATGTACTTTGCTGAATTATTCTATTGGTTATGGCAAACGTAGGAGCAAGGGACAAAGGCTCTTGGTTCATGTCCTATTTAGACAGTTTGTGACAGAGCAGAAAACCCATCCTGAGTCTCTGTAACCATGCTGCCTGCCCACATTCCTCATGCCGTGGTACTGCTTCATTGCAGCATCCCTGTGGAAGTTCCCTATGTTTAGAAATGGGAGGTGCTGGGGGGTAGTAATGCAGTCATGAAAAAAACAAAGCCATTTTGAGGTGATTTGTCGTACAAATTTGGTAGTCTCTTATGATGGAATTACAGCCTCAGTGGATAAAGGAAGAGCGACTGACCTCATATACCTGGATACAGGTTGGGCGGAGAATGGCTTGAGAGCAGCCCTGAGGAGAAGGATTTGGGAGTGCCGACTGATTACAATGCAACACAGCCAGCAGTTGCTCTTACTTTCCATTTTGTTTTGATTCTATGTTCTTAATTATATTCTCCAACTGGAATATTGCATTATAGGGTTCTATAAATTAAGCCAAGAAAGCACTCATTTATATTTAGACTTGAGCATGTCCTAACACTCTTTTTTTTTTTTCCTAGGGTTGGAAGGAATCTTTTCCTGCATCTGGTGTCATGCCTCTTAACAATGAGTCATTACAGAGTTTCAGTGCCAAAGGTTATCTGTCCTTCCAGGAGTTCAACCTGAAATTCCTCGCTGGAAATTTTGTTGTCGTGTCCTTTGTCAGTAGTACTGAAGATTTGATTGTTGCACATCAAGAAGCAAGTTCTATCACTTGTCCCTTGAGATGCAATCTTAATTATGGCAAGGTGAGCAGCTTTATTATGGCTTAATATCCTTCTTGAAATGAAGGGCTCATTAGCAGCACCACTGCCTTTCCTTCTCATGTGCTCAGAGCCCACGCACTGCAGTTTACAATTGACTGAAATGCCAGTGCTGCTTTCAGTAGTTCACTGCTGTTAAAGTTCACAGCTCTTTGATATATCTGTTTATTTTTTGTCTGAAAGCTGTGTCTTCCTGTCACTTTAATTCTGTCAGTGGTTTAGTTTACTAAGAAGGCTGCCTTCTTGGAAAAAACAGGCTCAACTACCTACTAGGCCTCATTCCAGCAATGTCGGGTTTTTGTTTTTTTCTTTTCCTTTTTCTTTCCCAACCCTCCCCTTCCCTCTCCTACCCATCTCCCCCCCCTTCCCCCTTGGCTCTATTGTAATAGTTTATCCTTTTAATGAGAGAAGGCTACAAGTTACTCTTTTTAAGTGAGATAAGCCCTTGTGAGCTCTATTTTTTTCTAACCAAGACTGGGAAATCGTTTGCCCTTATTTGTATTAAATGGATGTCTATACTTTACCGCAAGTCATTAGTTCCATAAAGAGATTGCCTTTCTATTGATAGCCTAGATGGGGGAAATCAGGAGTAAATTGCCAATAAATAGTGTACTTGTAAGCACTATTGATTCTCTCCGAGCCACAGAGAAATGAATGTACAAGTAAGATACTTTAAAAGGGAGGGGAAAAAAAAGTAGTAATTAGAGATTGTTGAAAGCTTGTAGGGGTGCCTCCAGGTGAGAGGCTTGCAATGGTTTTGTTGTTTCGGTTTTTGTTTTGGGTTGTTTGTTTGTTTGTTTTGTTTTATATTTGTTGTTGTTGTTGAAGGATATGGTTTGTAAAGGTAAGTGCTACTGATATAATAGCAATTCTTTTGGCCACCCTCAGAAATCTTGGTGTCAGTTGTTAGAAAACTATAGAATCAATACAACATTTCCTGTAAATCATAGTTTCTGTGTGGCTGGGGGAGTGTCCTAAGCTGCCATGTGAAAGGAGTAGAAAGTATGATTTCCACAGAAAATGAACATTGGGTGGGATTCAAATTTATTTTTCCCCACTTGGGTCTTAGAAGTCTGGAAATGACCTTTCTGAGCTGTTCAGGGAATGCGTTTGTGTATTGTAGCGGCTGTTCTGCTGTCCCAGGCATTAAGATCCAATTTTGAAGCAGAAAAATCTGAGTTGGTATGGAGAGGATAAGACTGTTCATAAGCTGAAGGACATCAGAATTCTTCCAAGGGCAGCTGGAAGAATAGTAGATCAGTGAGGTCCACTAAAGTCAAAATAATACTGATTTTCAGAGAGCTGGGTGAATATGGAAGAAACATACAAGAAAGCAATCATCATCTTTGTCACTAAATTATAGAGATGTATTTGAAGGTTGGACTACTGGGTGGATAAGGAATTGGCTGTATGGTTGCATCCAGAGAGTTGTAGTCGGTGGCTCAGTGTCCAGGTGGACACCTTCAGCAAGTTTGCATCTGACATCAAGCTGAGTGGTGCAGATGATGCCCCACCTGATGGGACCGGGACAGACCTGGGAGATGGGCCCGCATGGCAGTGGACTGTGGTGGACTTGGTAGTTAGGTGGGTGATTACGTTGATGATTTTAAGGATCTTTTCCAATCCAAATGATTTTATGATTTTCTGGGCTGTCTGTAGAAAAGACAACAGAACAAAACCAGTCTAACAATAGGGCAAAGCTGTGCTATGATAGTATTCGCTCCTGGAATCATGTTCAGTGATACGGCTCCTAACGTCTTCTGTGCACAAATTCAGTGATGAAATTGGTACTTGTAAGAGGAAGGCCACTGCTTTAAGAGTATCCTGATAGAAAAAGCAGTGCTGCAGTACTGCAGAAAGTACTGCAGAATCTCTGGAAAGCCTTTTAATTGTGATTGATTAGGGAATTCTCCTGATGGTATGCTGTTCTTCATCACATTTTCTTTGAGACAATGGACAATGATAAATGTTGGACATACAGCAGATATTTAGTTATACTACATACAGTACTGGAATAATCTTGAATGCCTAGAAGCAGAACAGCTAAATAAAATTTGTTTTATGTGGGTATCCTTAGTAACAAAAATAAAGTACTGGACAGATGCAAAATAAAGGACACAGACTACTTTGGACTGAATTTCTTCCCTGAAGGTGGAAATGCAGTTCATCACTAAAGATTGAACACTAGGGAAACACAATGAAAAAGCCTTTGGAAAGTGCAGTGGAATTGCCAGATCGCAGCTTGAACCAATGGTTGAGCACCATGTGGCTCATCATGTGTGGCTTACCCAGGGAGCTCCAGGTGCAAGCAATGCCCCTGAGTGAGTGGAAGGGGTGGAGGCTGTATCTACCCATCTTCTCTCTCATTTAAGGGTTAGAAGCTGAGGAAGCCATATCTCTCTGAGATCACACTTCTTTTGAGTTATTGCCAGTTATTGGAAGAGGTGAGTCAGTTCTTTTGTTCTTCTGTTCTGTAGCCTATATCTAAGGAAAAGGCTCTGTCATTGCCTTTGCTCCACGTTTTTGTCAAGCCAGGCAGCCAAATACCTTTAAAGGTATTCTGTTATAAGCCTCCTAAAATATTTGGTATGGCATTTCTAAGTAACGTAAGGGGGTAGTTTGGATAGGGAAAGACTGCCCCTTTGAATGAAATTTTGCAGGGGCGCACCCAGGACTCTTAAAATCCCTGTATCTTGGGTTTACTTCAATAATTGAAAAGTGGGCTCCTTGCAGGATAGAGGAAGTATTATAGAGTCCCTGCCTGCCTGGCCAAGTATTTCCATGCCCTTAGTAGTATACTGACTACTAAAAAATGACAATTGGCCATATCTATTATGGCACAGCTACTTTTGATGATGGCTTTAAATTGGTTGAGCAAGTCTGAAGAGGCTCTGGCTGATGAAAATCAAGAGCAGAAATCCCTTGCAACCTACAGACTGGACCAGAGGTCCTATGTTGAAGTAACACTTTATTAGTTGTGAAAGAATATTCAGCTGGTTATGGCACTAGTGGATACCACAGCAGAAACATCTAATATATATGGTGACCCAATCTATTTTCGGGCACTAAGGCAGTGATAGGGGGGGTTTGAGGGGCAGATGATCTTTATAACCCAAACATGGTTGAAACTGGGGGTTGGAGGTCTCCCCACCCCAGCAGTACAGGGTGTCCATCACCCCAGTTCCAGATTATATATTGGAAATCAACATTCTGTGGGGTCTTAGTCTCCAGACTAGTGTGAGAGGGTTCAGGCTAAGAGAAAGATGTATCAGCTTCTGGGTAGTGCAGGTAACTTTAAGGCAAGAACTGACCCCATTTGTTTGCAGTAACTACGCTGAATTACAAATAAAAAACACTATAGACTCCCTGGTGGGGAATTGCCAAGGCTTTGCTGGAGGGGTTGGAGAGAGTAGAGATTATAAGACCTGCACTCAGTCCATGTAACTCCCCCATGTGGCCAGTCAGGAAGTCAGATGCTATGTGGTGAATGATGGTAGGCTACAAAGAACTAAATGAAGTCACACCATCAATCCACGTAGGCATACCCAATATGGCCTCACTTGTGGATGCATTAAGTAGAGAAATAGAAACATACCACTGAGTTCTGGATCTGGCGAATGTATTTTTCAACGTTCCAATTGTTAAGAAATCCCAAGATCAGTTTGCATTCAAAGGGCAGGCAGTGGACTTTTCAGGTCCTTCCTCGGGGTACATGCATTCGCCTACCTTTTATCATAATCGCGTGTGACTTGGCAAATTGGAATAAACAGTCTATTGTCAAAAATGCCACTACATCGATAATCCGATGTTGACATCTGACTCAGTGGAGGCATTAGATGAGTCAGTAACTTCACTAACTGCCTATTTACAGGAGAAAGGGTAGGCTATAAACCCATGGCAATGGTAAGGTCATAGGTAAGGTCCAAGTGTTCCTGCTTCCCACGGCATCACAGTGGTTGCAGGAGTTTCTGGATATATTACAATATTGGAGATCCCTTATTCTGTACTCTGTGCAACTGTTAAAACCTCTGTATCAACTAACAAAAAAAGGCCAAGTGTGGAATTGGAGTAGAACAGAACAAGAAGCCTTCCAACAGGCAAAAATAGCTGTTAAACAGGCCCAGGTGCTAGGCGTATTCCAACCCTTGCAATCAAAGTAGATGTGCATGTAACTCAAGAGCGGTTCCACTCATGGTTGTGGCAGTGCCAGAGTTCTACTGGAACTCCACTATTTGGGTTCTGGCTGCAGATTTGATGTGGAGAAGAAGAAAGATATGGTATGGCTGAGGAGCAATACCTGTCCTGCTCTGCAGGTGGTAAAACCAATAACCCAGACTACAAATCTTATTATTAAAACAACTTTGCCAGGTCAGGGGTGGGTGGAAGATCGAGTCCACATTCCTGAGATGGGGGGCGGCCCAATCACAAGCAGTGGTGTGCTGGATCACCTGCCCTACAGTCCAACAGGAGCAGGCCTAATAGATATAAGGGGATCCTGAAGGCTGCTTTGAATGCAGATTCACAATCCTTTCGGGAGTGGACCAAGAGACTCCATGAACCCCTGTGGAACTTGCATGAGAGACCAAGGAATGGCAGACCCAGTGCTTTATGAATGTTGCAAACAACTTGGGCCTCCCTGGTAAGTATACAAATTACAGGGGAGGACACCTCGCTCAAGCCACAAGTTGGCACATTGAATAATCTTCTGCTTCTTGCCCCTGAAGACCTAGAGCCCAGAAAACACCAGGTAAAATGGCCTTGGAAGGTGCAAGTAGGACCAAAATGGTGTGGTCTACTTGCACCTTGGGGGAGATTATTAGAGGTTGGGGAATCAGTGAACCTTCCGGTAGTCAGTACGTGGCCAATGGACTTCGCATACCAGTTTTCATTGCAAAGGGGGCATTAATCATGTCCACGTGCCCTTCCCCCCCTGTTTTGGTACCTGATGCAGCAATTCAGCCAGAGATATCAGGCCAAAGGGTGTG